ACTCACAGACATAAAAGACAAACTTGTGGTTACCAGGGGTGGGGGTGGGGAAGGTATAGATTGGGAGTTAGAGATTTGCTGATACCAACTAATATATATAAAACAGATAAACAAGTTCAGGCTGTATAGCACGGGGAGCTATATTCAATATCTTGTAGTAACTTACGGTGAAAAGAATATGAAAATGAATATATGAATGTCTATCACTAGCAGTATGCTGTACACGAGAAGTTCACACATTGTTAACTGACTGTACTTCAAGTAAAACACACACACACACACACACAACAAACGTGGTATAAATGTATGATTCTACCCATAACCAATGTTCTCTAAGAAAATTTGGGGATAAACATTAGTAAAGTTTTCACTATAGACTTTAGGAAACATTACTTCTAATTCCCAGTTATTCTGTCTCTTCATCAATATTCCAGCAGGTCCCCCCACAGTAAAGTCACTGGGCACCCGATAATATCACAACTCCAAGTAACAAAGAGATACTTCCTGTTCATCTACATGATCAACTTTGATTATCCTTGCTAACAGCAACAAGAACAGTCTTTAATCTCACCACGTGGAGAACTGTTATTTAAAAGCTTGGCTTTTATCTGGATTGAGACAACAGTTAGAAATCTTCAGCCCTGGCCACACAAAGATAAACGTGCTTCCCTTTTCAGCTGCTGGGATTGGAAGGTATGGTCACACTGAAATCCTACTGCACAGCAATGAAAGTGAAAAATAAACTTGAAGAACAAGTGGTCTATTGTGAAAACGCTTTCAGTCACGCCTCTAAGGCACGCTGTCTCCACCGTGACAAAGCAGTTTCCTTTTTTTAATGGCCTGCTCCAGGGTAGGAAGAGAGATGACTCAGATGATTTGCTGCCGGCTCCCCTCCCCCCAAGGCAGGCCAGAGTAACACTCGTTTCATCATGGTGAAATGCTTCATCAGCACCCGGCAGAGCAGGAGCCTTCTAAGACAGTCACAGCCTCTGTTGCCTGCTGTCTTCCATGTGATGAGCTGATGCAAACACACTGGGTCAAGGAGAACCAGCTGAGGAGCTGAGGTTCTGTCCTTGGCGGGACACCAGGCTACTCTTAGAAGGACCGAAGGACTGAGAGGGTGCTCAGCCAGGCCCATGCTTCCCAATGAGGTTAGCATGCTGCCTTCTCACAGCTTTGGATTCTCGAGGTTCCTGCTGCTCAGTCCTGCCACATTATCTCGCTCCACCTCTGAGTGCCTGCTTCCCGCCCTGCAGGGACTCCTTCCCCTGGTAAATGGTTTGCAACATTTCCCTGTCTCTGAATAAGCTGGTTACGTAAACCAGTGAAAAGACATTGCTAGGTTCCAACCCCCAGGAGTTCTCATTCGGTAGGTCTGGGTGGAGCCTGAGAATGTGCCTTCCTGACAAGTTCCCGGGGGAGGCTGATGCTGTGGCTTTGGGGACCACACTGGAATGACTACCAGGCCTCGGCTCTCTACAAACACTTCTTCCTGGATCCCTCTCGTTTAATTCACTTCATAGAGTGGGTGATGGGATCTGGCACCTCACACCCTCTGGGGGGCCATCTCTCCCTGTGACTTCATTTTCCTTATCTGTAAAATGGGGACAATCCTTTCCTTAAGAGGTGTCAGTCCTAAGACCCCTCTTGTAAGACCCATCCCAGGGACTGAGTATCTGGCAACGACCAGTGTGCCTGGCTGCCCTTTTTTTGCCCTCCCCTTGCACTTTCCACCTAGTATGAACTTGACTTAAATTGTATTACTCATTGAGGTCCTGCCTCCCAGATTAGATTATAATCTGGAAAAGGATGCATATCTTAAGCATCTCGGCTCTAGCCCCGAATCCTATGTTCAACGCCTCAAGGACATTTATTGATGATGTTGATAAAGAAACCGCCCTCACTGCACTCACCCTAAATGACTCCCACAGTGCCACATAATGGAAAACAAGCCAACAAGCAAAAAGCCTGAAGGAAAAGAATGCAGAAGCAGTGGACTCAGAACAGAGAGCCCTGATCCCTGCTGAGGCATGCAAGGTGGCCAAAGGGAAATAATTTATCACCATCACAGCAGAATGAAGACAAAGCTGACCAGATGCCAACTATTCTCTTACCCCTTTGCCTCTGGAAATATACGAATTATTTCCTGCAGCAAATCAAGAGGGCCCAGCACAGTCTTCTAATTCCATCTGATGCTATGGGGAGGATGGATGCAGGGACAGGCCCCAGAAAGGAAAGGAGGAGGAAATGCGGGGTGGGGCTTGAAAGGGGGGAGGGAGGGGAAGAAAATGCACCTGAGACGTCCTCTGGCATTCTCAGATCTATCTGTTAGCACTTGGCGAGGCATCTGGGAAACCAAACCGGATTTTTGCAGCCTCGTATCTTTTGGACATAACTGTGAGTTTGCTAACCGATGCTGATGCTCCCTTGCAACTGTTCCTCCATCTTCATTTGGCATAAAAGAAAAGCAGACAGGAAACCTGGACCTTCTATCTTTTCCCTCATCCAGAATACAGCTGGAGTTCCTTCATTTTGTCTCTCCTTGGACCCCCTAAGCCTGCAGCCATGCAGCCTGAGTGGACAATGGACATGGAAATCTCCTGGGCCGGCAAGCTCTGGGTGAGGAAGCTGAGGTTCAGACAGCTAAGAAGGCACCTGCAGGATCCCACACAGAATTTCTCATCGACTGGGGACT